ACTGGACCACTGAACAGGTTTTTTTCAGGCTTAGCCAAAGATAATTCTGCAATTGCCACAGTAAGAACAGAGCAGTTCAACATCACACCCATGGGTGCCAACTGTTGCTCCAGCCTCCAGCTCCTACCCATCATGAGGCCCACAGCTAGGAGGGACACTAACAAATTGAAAAGTCAAAAACCCAACACTACGGATTAGAAGGGATGAAGGAAACGCTGCTTACCCTGAAGAAAGAAGATGAGAAAATAGACAAAGTACAGAGATGAGTCCTGGAGAAGGTGACCTGAATTACAGCAGTTCATGGGGCGGTACCCTGGGAGGGTCACCCTCCAAGTACATAATTAGTGCCAGGCCTGAGAAAAAAAACACTGTTACTAAGTCAATGTAGCCAAGGGGAGAGGGGGGAGCTTGGGAATTGGGTGGACAGGACACAGAGGGTACATTTTCTTTCTTAATATAGAAGGAGCAATGATGGAAGAAGCAGACTTTCCTCACCCACAGCCAAGTCCTGGCGAAAATCAAGAGAAGCCACTGTAGATACCAACTCAGAAGATCACTGCTGCTTTGGTAGTGTGGTAAGGCCTGAACAGTGCAGATAGCTTTCAAGGAAAAGATTTTTCTTTAAAAGGTGAAGAACAAAAGCTTCCCCCCCAACCCCCGCCCTTCTTTCCCTTTTCCCCCTCCACCCAAATAAAGTGTAAACATTCAACCCCAACACACTGAATTCTGGCTACCCTTTGTGTGGCTGAATGTGTGGCTGCCAAATTTTTGCTAATCTACACAGAAGAGTATTATTCCCATTATGCAGTATATCATCTGTAAAAATGAGACAAAATACAGAATTAAAATAGATGAAAGATGAACAATAAAGAGATTAAGGTCTAATTTGTTAAGATTTACTCTAAAAATAATATTTCATTCTAAAACTACATATATAACAATGTATTTGTAAATTTTGTTCTTCATTTTCAAGGCCATGTTATACTGAAGAGCTGGAGTTAGGCTGTGCTGTCACATCAAAATACACCTGGAAGGAAGTAGCAGATGCAGGAGGGGGGAGAAAGAAGTATGAAGTCTGGAGAGTTCATAAACTATCTCCACTGAAGAGGGAAGAAAGACAAGTTAGATGAAGGGGAAGGGGAAACATTAAAACACACCAACTGTGAAGAAAAGACTCAGAACAGACTTTGCTTGAAAATGAGAACACTAACAGCTGCCCTTACCACACCACAGTTAATAGAGACTTTCATAAGTGCCTTAGTAGTCCAAATGAGCATATCCCCACATGATATATATAAACACATATACACATTTACACAAAAGATGTTGAATTATAAACCATGCTAATATATCCCAACTCCTTGAAGCAGAAGTTAAATAATATTCTGTTTAATAATACAAATTTAAGGTCAACAAGTCCTTAAAATTACATGTTCAGAAGTTGAATGGAGGACATAGAAGTCTCAGAGGAGAACTAGTTATATACAGTTTATCACAGTTTTATAGCTTAAATGTGACTGTGCTTGAAACAGAAACCCACAAAATCCCAAACCAGAAATCACACACACTTTGCTGTTCCTGAAAACCTGGCAGCCTGTTATTTGGAACAAGTAACTTGCAGCACCAGCATCTGCAGGGCACTTTGCATCCAAAACTGTGCTTAAGTTCTCAAATGCCTTACAACACATGTACACAAGCACTATTTTCGTGACTAACTCTGCAAAGGCCGTGCTCCCTTTCTACCTCCTTGCTCTTCCTTGAGCATCAAAACCTCATGCACTACCACACAGTTCCTCAATCTAAGGTAAACTGTTGAAATGGGAACCTACCATAAAGCCAAAAAACCAGAATCCAACAAGAAAACACATTAAATCCACAGAAAACAAAACACAGTGTCAACCTACCACTTACACCGTAAGATCAGAAATTAAATGATGACAACCAGCTCAAGCAATGAAGCATCACCAACATGACAGAGTCTGACAATACAATTAAGGAAAAGCTTCTGAAAGATTTGACCAATAGCTGGATGGACCCTTCTTCATCAACAAGCAAAGCATTCTGAACTGAAGAAGGTAGATACTTAAGCCTACATATGTTTCAAATAAACAAGGCCTCGATATTTCCTTTCAGTAAGGAAATATACTTACAGACATGTTTATGAGGCATTCTGAACAGATCCTACATCATTGCTTACTCCAGAAAGAACAATCCAATTCTCTCTGCAGAAAGCAAAAATATGGCACAAGTACGTTTGAACACTTGAGCAATGGGAGCTGTAATTAAGCCTGTCTCTTCTCGAAAGATCATCAAAGGGTGCCTTGGAAAAAAGGAAGCCTTGGGGGCACAGGTTTTCTTCAGTGGAATCCCTCCCACATGAAACTGGGAAGCAACTTGATCTTGCTGGGAAGAAAAAGCAGTACCAAAGCCAAAGTCTATCGCACTGGAGAGAAAATCCATCTAGCTGGAGCTAACTCACCATCTAAGACCTGTGGATATGCAGGACAGACACGCGCGCATTCAGAGAGGTGCCTGGTACTCCCACTGCACTTCACATTGCCCTGGGCCCTGAAGAGAAACTGCTGGAACAGTCCATGTATTCAAGGCAGTAACTTAAGCTGGTGGTTTTGACTGACCTCTTCCTGCCATAGGCCATCTGTCTGCAAGCAGCACTCCCACATGCATGGGCTAGTCAGTCGTGATCTCCTGTTCTACTTCAGCGGGATCTGTATGAGCATTCTTCCTTTACTCTGCAACCCCCACTTCCTGCTACTAATCTCCATCACCTACTCCTCTGTACAACAGCCTCCATGTTTAATTACTGTGCTTTGGGCTGTCATAATCCATACATACTAATGTTAGAGCTTTATTCAAGTCTGTTCAAGCACTGCCCTTCAACTGCATGTTGTTATTGCAACATAGCAGAGTGTAAGGGACTGATTAAAAGATGGAGTCTGCTGAGCCACTGCCTCGAGCATGGAGCTAAAAGGTCTTGATGCAACAGCCAGGCTGCTCCAGGAGCTGAGCTGCTTGCAAAAGCTCCAGGAGGTAACCAGCAAGCCACGGCAGGCAGGTAGACAAGCTATTCTTAGCAAAAAAAAAAAAAAAAAAAAAAAGATAAGAAGTTGTTACAATCAAGAACACAGCAAGGACCCTCCCCAATAAGGCATGGCAGGCAGATCTGGCGTGAATACTCAGGGATCAGCCAGTGGACACTCAGGGCCCATCTCGGTACCAGGCAACCTTTACTTGGATACTGGTGAACTGGCCAGTGGGCATCCAGGGGCTACCACAGCAAGGGAGTTAAGGGCCATGCCCAGGGACTGCTGCCACCCTGGTACTCTGCCTGCCTCAGAGGATACAAGGCAACCAGGGAAGAAGCAGAGATCTATCAGCTTGCAAGCCAGCAGCACTTCATTGGGGTGGTAACTCCTGTCCTGTGCTTTTAACAGCTACCCTGAGCCTTTCCTGCTTTTCTACCCTCCTTCTTTCTCTCTGCTCTTTACAAAGATAAAGCTGAATTATCATTTTGGGATCCAGCATCTGGCCTTGTTTGTGCCTTAATCTCGGAATGTTTTAGAACCTGGTTCCCCTCTCCAAGTGGATCAGAACACAGGGCTACCAGATGAACAAAAATAAGATTCGTATTAGTTTCTCTGTATACTTTTGCATAGTTAACCACAGTATTTCTTTAGATTGCCTTGCCATTAACTAGTTTTCTGTACCAAAATTCTGCTCTAAATGTCAGCTGCTGTGCTGCACAATACTAGGACACATATTCAGAAGTGTAAGGAAAAAACAAAACCCATTTCTTTTCAAATAATGATTGATAACTGAAGCCAGTCCTCTCTCGCTTTCAGGGCCTCCCTTTTGATCAAGTAATTAGGAACAAGTAGTTTTCCTAAAAGCTGCAGCTGTTTTGTCAGCACAATCCCTCTAAATGCAAACAAGCTTAGTAACTCATGTTACGAGTTTCCATGTGGTTTAAAATAGCAAAGGTCTACAGCAACATGTCTAAGTGCCTGAGTTCAAATACCAAGAGTGACACATTTTGAAATCTAGTTCTCAATTTGTAATAAATGCTGTAAAATACAGACAATAGAGAAACCCCGGGGGAGCAGAAAATGGACATCCTGCATGATGCAGAGAGGCAGCAAGGAGACTGTCTGCATCACAGAAAGTACTGGGTAGCCTTGCAGCCAATAAATAGGAATGACCTAAGGCTCCATGAACTCTGACCCCTCAAACCTCCAACATCAAAAAGCACAGAGCTTTTCATTTCATTTTATTACTCAGCAAACAAGAGAAACGGTTACAATCAAGGTGTGTTACAAGTCCAAACAGAACATAAATATGGTACATCACATCTTGCATTCTGAGGCTTTCAGCATTTTATTCCTTGACTACACTTTTGTGTACAAATACATTTAGCTGTGATGTAAAGCCAGCCCTTTTCTCCTCTGCAGTCATACCCCTTTCCAGCCACCTTTCATACTCCCAGGCTTTATACAGGCCCTAAGCCTATCACACATTCTCACTAATTCTCCTGGGTTAACTGAAGAGATCATCTTATAGTAAAAAAGACACAGCTGGGGAAGGAAAAGGTTATTTAAACATGCATGTACTGGTAAATGATACACTGTACTCAGTGCAAGACACTATTTCTGTATTTGAAAAAAGAAAAAGGGTTTGTGTGGTTGGGGGAAAGGTAAAACTTCAAGAAGCAGTCATTTTTATGAAATGGAAATACTAATTTTTCTTTTCAGTGATGCTCTTACTTCCTAGGGATACAGATTGCAGTAAGGAGGAAAAAACCTAAAATCATACAACTTCACTCACATAGCTGCTAGACTTTAGAAACTCTTATTATGTTGTACATTAGTATAATGATGGTAGGATGATTTTCAAGAGTAAAGAATTGTCTTTATCTCGCTGTTTTAAAAACTGAGTATGAAAAAATGAACACAGTTAGCAGCTGATGTAAAACTTTAAATACTTACTGCGTAGGAGCCTATGAGGAATGCAGCATTTGCTTGTTTTTTCTGATCTAAGCCAGTATAATGAATTATTTTCTTCCTTGTCAATGAAAATGACTGTATCAAGAAATGAACAAGATTATGATTTTGCATTTTAGACCTTTTATCCCTTCTTTTATAAAATTAGAGGAAAGCAAGAGTTTGTTTATCTACTTTCAGCCACCTGTATTTAGAGAACCAGCCATACTGTAGACTAGTCCCTCAGAAGCTTTGGAAAACTTTGCAGCCCCACCTAGATTGTTCTGGTATTTTTCCCAGTATCCAGCCTAAATAATTTTCGGTACAAATTACAGGAATCTTTTATTTTTCTTCTTACACGTATTTAATATTTCCAACTTCAACCCTTATGTAACAGACAGCCATTAATCAGAAGTAAATAGAAAATGGCCTTTTCAAAAACAGCACAGGTATAATAAAGTTGCAACAGTTTTAAAAACAGAATTTAGACTTTTTCATTCTTGAAGAAAACCTGACTCTCTATAAATCCACTAGTATTTGCTTCTAAGCATCAGAAACATACTTGGATTAAAATACTTTGAAAGTATTTCTAAACTTTATCATAAATAGCTTTTTAAAATATCATCTTGGCTTGGCATATAGTTTCTCTAATTATCTTAGAAACTGGGTGGAATGGCATTTTCCATAGAAATCTGTGGACGTCAGAAAACTGACATCTGTGGTGTCAGTTATCCCCTAACTGGCCCTTGAAACAAATTCTGATGTGCTTAAAACTGCATGCTTTGATCAACTGCTAAGCTATCACAAAATGTCATTTTATGTATTTACATAGCAGTGTTACTTGCTCAGATACCATTCAATGCACTCAACACAAATAAACCCCAGATCACTGGCAGAAATATGTTCTCAATCCTAACGTGTCTGTCCAATATAAAACCTAAGATATTAAAAAGTTTTATAATACAGACTTGTGTTGCTTCAGAGCATCCTGTAAACAAAAATCAGAGAACCTTGTCTCTGGCAAACCTGTTCGTAGTACCACAGGGATAAAGCAAGTCTGGATTATGCAAACTATTATCAGTGACAGACATCAAGGAATGAAAAAAAAATACACTCTTAATCTATAATGTTCTGTATACTTTCCAATTTTCACAGTTCAGTGGCAGCTTAAAGATGCAAGTAGTTTTGAAGAGGCAAACTGTGATTCACATTAATGCAAATAAGCTTTTTTATCTGCCTAACAGGTTTTGTGCTCCAACATCTATTAGAGGTAACTAACTTTTAGTCGTTCGTATTAATTATTATAGGAAGTAGGCAATCCCTGTTTTAAAGACACTGTGCTCTATCAAGAGCCCAATCCCAAAAATTGCTGAGCATCCCTAAGAGAAAATAACCTGCAGAAGGAGCACAGCAGCCTCCTTCAGGCCAATGCCATCAACGCCACTGAAGATCAAATGTTACTTCTTACTAAAGAGATGTCAGCAGCAGAAAAGACCAAATCAAACCATAAACATCTCAAATAAAACCGTGTTGCACTGCACCCTCCAGCTCACTCAATATGGGCAAGATTGCCAAGAAGACTGAGTTCCAGGAGGGGAGCTTTTCATTCAAAAGAGTCTGTAGTCATTTAGCAACTGATCTTTCAGAAGCTTAACATTAGTTACTGCCACAGCGATACATCTCCTGGTTCTTGAAAGTAACTGGGTCTTCCCTTCTGATCCTCCTCCTCCCTAAATTTACCTTGATAAACTCTGGCATTCATATTCAAAACTCAGCGAGGTTAGGATTCTAGGAAGGCACCTCAGCAACAACAACAACAACAAAAACCCAAACCAAAACCTTTTGCCCATTTGTTTTTGTTCTTTAAGAAGTCAGTAATATTGAAAAAAACCCCAAGCATTACCTTCAGTTTCTTATTTAGCTTGCAGCAGTACCTGTAGACCATTGCCAGATTGAGTGGTCCAAAGTCTGCATAGAAGCTGGTAGAAGAAAGGGGAAAATTTGTATATGACCCCTGTGAACACCTTTTCTTGTTAATAAGATGCACAAAACAAGGAGTAATAAGATACAAGTGACATATGTACACCATTCTAAAAACAAGCATGCCTTCTTAGATACATACATACACACCATTTTGTTGGAGGAAACAGGTTTGTCGTCTTTAAACATGGACTAAAACTTTGTTTTTCACACAGCAGCATTCAAAACCAAACTCAAGGTTTGAAGAACTTACTTCTCACTACTGTGTTACTCTGTGACAGAAGTTTTTAAACTCTATTTTAAGAGTAACTCATAAGCTTTACTTTAAAAGAAGGCAATTGATAGTGCTAGAGAAAAGTAAACACAGAGAATAAAGACTGATTAGTACTCTAAAAACCAGCAAGCACGCCCTTGGTCAAAAACATTTAAAGAATTAGCAGCATTCCACATAAACGTAAAAGGCAAACACTGTTCACTACAGGGGAAATAATATATCCATTGTCAGCTCATAAAAGCTTGAATTGATTTTGCCAGTTTTTACTCTTACTGTAGGAAGTTCAGACATTCCACTTCATACATGAACAACCACAGACACCCACTTCAGCCTGGCAGTTCAACGTGCACTTCTGGCTCTATATGGCTGCATCATGTTCCTATGTCTTCTAACAGCAGTGGGTACAATGAAAGCTTATGCTTCGAAAATGTTTTTAAGAAATCCTGATTGGAAGGCAAGAAACCATTCTAAGGCATATAATCATGGCAGATAAGTCTAAGACCAAACTCATGTAATTAATTCTATAATGGAAATGGTATATTTCCCTCAGCTCAATTTAAAAACAGAATGCCAATCAGGCTGTTTCCTCACTGCTGGTGTTCTGACTAATTTATTTCAGAAAAAAAAACCAGAAAAAATAAAACCATACTTACTTCTCATACACAAGTTCATCATCTATGCAGAAATAATGGGTATTTCCAGCTCCACTCTTTGGTTTTTGGCAGAGAATTGCAAAATAAAGGCGATCTGAAACGCAAGAAAATTTGAAGCTTTTATAAGCACCACATTTTTCTGCTGAAAGCCTGAAGTATTACCTGTCAAGGGTACAACTTTAAATGGTTTAAAATGAAGAAAATCTTCTTTTAAGTATTACCCAACCAGGTATTATTATTGCTCCAGTATTGAACAAACAAGGCACACAAAGATTGAGGCTTTTTGCTCAGCAGTGTTCCCATAATCTGCAGCTCTTTTGTGCTCTTTTCCAAAGTGTTCCCCGTTGGACGACTTTGCAAAAGAGCAGGAGCCCGACTTGCACCCACAGCCACAGCAGAGTCCTCCTTTGGCAGGTGGCTGCACTCCGAATAGCAACACCCCCTCGCAAAATTACCACATATCCCTCTGCACCTCTGAGCACCTACGTTAAACTAAAGGTGCCTCCTGCAGGCAGGAGACATCTTGCCCTGGCTTCCTTTGTTAAGTTTTTTTGCAGGGAAAAAAATACCAGCGGTATTCACACAGATATAAATTACTTTTATGGCCAGGGAAGCTGAGGGCCCAGTGAACTTTAAACACCGACTGTGCTGCTGCTAATAAATTGCTGTGCTTGAGGTAATTGGTCAATAAAAACTGAGGCTTGCAGCACCACAGCAATACTTGTCTTCCTCCTGCCGAAAAAATATCATATCTGGATTAAAATTCAGATAACCTTTTGTTTGTTTCCAACTAGGTGCCTAGAACAGAGGTATTACTTAAATATCAAAACAGATCACCTGCATGTAAACGTATTATTTCAAAACAGAATTTGTGATGGAGAAGAACTGTATCTCCTTTTTGAGACAGCAGGAAAAAAAAAATCACTTTAATCTTCAAAACATCCTCCATGACCAGTAGTTAGACACCATTACTTGTGTCTTCAAAATAAGTATGCCATGGGAAGGAGTTTGCATGTCTGTATTTCAACAGTCAGTACTCAGTGCTTACCTATGTACAGCAGTATCTCAAGGGGTGAAGGCAGAAAAGACCACCAAAAAGTGTACATTTGCGAAATGCTCATTTCAGTTGCCTGTTGTGAATTGTTTGGCTTAAACATTTACAGGTCAGGTGCAACCAGTGGGATGTACAGTAAGGCATGTCAGGCACCTCATTCCTTACTCTCTCAGCAGAAGCAAGGCACCCAGACTTGACTGTTTAACTCCTAATAGTCCCATCTTGTAAGCACAGCAGCTGCAGGACAGGATGGAAAGTGTATTACCTGCAATGTACCTCCCAGTATTTATTTACCAAAGCATTCTCTAAAACCAAACCAAAGGACCAAAAAATTTAAAGTAATGCCATGCATTTTTAAGATGTGAGTAAACTGGCCCACAGAGTGAAATACATGTGGAGAAGCAAGTGCACTGATATCCCAACTGGATGCAAAATATGCTGTGGCAAAACCTGCTTCACATAAAGGTAATGCTGGGGGAGGGCTTTGGGGCTGGAGGGAGCCCCAGCTCTCCACAGCTTCCCAGCATCTATCCCCACCCCTGTGTTAATGGCTGAGCAGCATCAAGGTGGATTTGCATGAATTAGAAACTGCAGCAGGTAGCCAAGTGCAATATTTAAAAAAAAAAAAAAAAAAAAAAAAAGAAAAAAAATAGAAAAAGCAGGGGGGGGGGGGGAAAGAACAAAGCAAAGAAAAAAAGAAAAGAGAAAAAAAGAAAAAAATTTAAAAAGCTGCTTTGCTGATTTATTTGCCTCTGGTCTGAGAATGTGAGCTAATGTGGGCAGGAGGAGAACTGAGGGCAAAGGAGGAAGCAGAAAGGAGAACTGAGAGGATGTGATATCTAGGGATTGTGTTTAAACTGGCATTGCCAGATTAAACACATGTCACTACAGCCCCAGGCTATAATTTCACACCACTTCTAAACTGATTTAATGGCTAGCTGCCACCAGGTTCCTTACAAGGAAAAATCTTCTGAGTTAGCTCACTGAACGAGCCTGCTGGGTGTTAACAGTAGGAATACCCAGCCAAAACTTCTCCCTCGATGGCATCTGTCCTTTAGTGCCAGTCTAATTATCGACTAGACTGGGCTCTCCCTCTTTATTGTACACAAACAATAACTGCATCAAAGTCTGGGCAGAATGGCTGTAGTACTCCAACTGACATGCTACCTTCTTGCACTTCAGCTTCTTCCCAGAAGCTTTACATCACTTGAAAATACAAAAGCGCTACACAAAGAGTAATCCAAAATCCTCAAACACAAAGGGAGGATCAAAATGAAAATAAATATAATTTGCACAGGTCAAAGACTTAAAATAAGTTAGCATTTTGCTCCTAAACAGGATTTGGAATAACAGAGTCACAACCTCAGGGCTTCTACTTTCACTGAAATTCTTCCGCAGCTTCTGCAAAAATGTCCAACAAAAATAAGAATTCCTGTCTTGAGAAAGCAGTGTGTATTTTGAATTGTTGGCATACAATTTCTGCAATGGTAACTCTGGACCACGTTAATTGCGGCTACTCTAAAAACACATGAAAGAAACCTGAATTTAATGAATTTACAGAAGTACTTCACAACCAGAGCAGTGTGTGCCTAATGCCCATATCCTGACAAGCTGTCCATTCCCGTGCACTGCTAACAATTGCTCCCTATCATGGAAACACCAGGCTCCATCTTTTTAACATGTTTCCTATGGAGAGATTTTAGAAATTAGCTACACGGAGGAGTAATTTCCTGTAAGTGTATTTTATTTACCTCTCTGCTGACTTACCAGTCCAAATCCTGTATTACTCACCATGGCTGTTTTTACCTGCTTTTTTCCCAACATATTCCCAGTTCTGTTTAGTCAAGGATTAGTGTGTTGATTTTTTCAACAGAAATTAAGAGAAAGGAGAATTCCTTCATTAACCATTTGATTGCAGGATTGAGGGTGTATACATAAAATACACTCAAACACTAATGAACTGATTTCACTAGGACCCCACAAAGGTTTGAACTGCCAGAAGCAAGGCTTCCCTTTTATTATCTTTATGTTTCCTTTGCTAATTTTAGCTTTTTGGTATTTCATTTACATAAACTGCGCTTCAGCACTTCCTAATTCCTGCAAATTTCTGATAAAAAATCATCCTAAAACTATCAAACTGGAGCAGACCTTTCTAATCATCTCTCAGAAGAACGAGAGTGGGGCTCACTGCCTTACAGGCACTGCAATTAGGAGATATGACTGCAGCATGTTAGATATACTTCAAATACACTTAATTTTGTTAGCCTTATATAACAAAACAGTTAAAATACATAAATTAATTTGAGTAAGCATCCAATGTACAACAAAATGAGCCTACACACTCCTAACAGAGGACTAGGCTACCACAGCTGTGTGACTGCTGGTACCTCAACTAGTGAGACTAAAGGTAGCACAGGCATGTCTACACAAGCTGATTGCAGTGTAGAGAACTGAGAGCTACTTCAAAATCAGGTTAATGTGAATTTAGAGACGAAAAAATAATATCCTTCCTTTTACTCTCAATAAGCCTGATGTTTCTCAGGTTCTGCTGCACAGGCCTTCAAGGAAGAAATGTCAGTAATTCAAGAGTCACCATTGGACTTGAGGACCTTAAGGGTCTCTTCCAACCTAAACAATTCTGTGATGAGACAACTAAATACTGAACAGACACTAGTGGTAGGACAAGTCTGCATATGATCAGCAAAGGTTATTTCAGTAAAAAAAAGAAGTTCCACAGCTCTGTTGTTAAACAGATGTCTTAGATGAGAAATTCAGAGACTGACAGTACAACAAACCCCAATGTTAGTCTGTTTTGAATTACCAGGAGTGTAACCAAAGAGTTATTTACTACAGGAAGAGAAGTGTATTTCTAGATCTAGAGTTGGTATATGGAATTTTGTTGTGTTTCACTTAAAAGTCAATACATAAAAGATATATCAGAAAATATGAAAGACAAATTTTGTAGCCATGTCAAGACAAAAAGCAAAACTGTTTAAGATTCTCTTTTTAGTCTTTTCTACGATTAATTCAGTCATCACTATGATATTTCAAATTTAGGTGATGACAGAGTTGGCAATTAGAACAACAGCCTGAACTCTGAAAAAGAAAATGAAAGCACACTGAAAAGCTAAAGGAACTTTTTATTTAACAGAAAACCATGAAAGAATTACTTTAAGGGCTATGTCATGAGTGATCAACAACACTGCTACCTTACTAAAATAGAGTCCTGGCACTCTGCTGCTCTTGATTGGTACACAATACTATGTATCTTCATGCACTTTCAGTTCTGAATTAGACACTAAAAGCCTCAAACAGGTATTCAAAATCTCAGTTTTGAGAAGGACTAACAGGAAAGTGAGGTCATACTGATGAAAGAGTACAGCTTTTGTACTAAGATAGTTGCATAATAAAAGCTAATTGAAAGTGTTGATAGTCAAAATGTTGTAAGCTTAATGATACTTTTTAGAAGAGCCCTTAGCATTCAAAAAAATAGTTTTATACATAAGACACTAAGTTTATCATGACAAGTCAGCAATAGAGTAAAAAGACAACTCAATGGTTTGAAAAAAAACCAACCAAACAAAAAACAACACAAAACCAAAAAATCAATGAATATATTAAATTGAGTATTTCACTCTCAGATCCAAGTGACAGTGTAAGCAAAATGATTCACAGTGGAGAAAAGACAAATAGGCATGTACAGTGCAGCTTAGAGGATCCTTTAAGTTGTTTGTTCCTCACTGTACACAAACTGGATGTATATATTCAGAAGGAAGACAAACAAATGTCAGGAAATGCCCTATAATGCTGTATTACTTAAAATTTTATGCCATGTATAGTTATTGTTGTTACTTCATTTTAGAATTAACCACGGGAAATAGAAACACACAGCTTTTGCCTGAGGTTTATACATTATAATTCCACCTCTTCTTTACAGTGTTACTTATAAAATCAGAGCAATGACAAAGAAAAGCAGACAAGGAAAGGAAAATAATAGCTTTCAAGCATCTCGCACAGGACTGTTACATTTTCTTTAGATTATATAAATTACTTCTCTCAGAGATCAGAAGGACATGGGAAGACACTTCTAATAAACAGAAGAAATGCACTCACTTCCAGCAATTGTAATTAATACCAGCAAGTCTCACACATTAGTTGGCAAAGAGAGAATGATAAAGCTTACCATGCAGCTTAACAGACCAAACAAAAACAATTTTTAAAAGAACAGCTTTCTTGAAGAAGTCTAATTAGTAAACAAAAATATTTAGGTGATTCTGATTAATAATTATTCTGACGAATAATGGCTGATTAATACAAATCACTAAAAAATAAAGAAATGCAATAATTACTGTAAGTAATTTGAGTATAAAATTCATGCAAATAATGGATTAGAAACTTTGCTGTTTATGAAAGTAACATCACACAAGGAAAGTTTACAGCAATTTGGGTTTATGTTCTGCTTCTATCTTTTGCAAAGATGAATATGAGGGTAGCTTGCAGTGTTCTTAATAAGTTTGGCACTATTTCTGTAAGTAGATAAGCTAACACAGATCTCTCCATCTTTACAGTAGTTCAAATATTTACCAGTATGTTCACTTTTAAGAATAAGACCTTATCTGTCTCCAGCCCAAAACTAGTTACAAATTTCTCAGAACTGCATTGTAAAAAGGCAGAACTGATAGTTCAAAATTTGACATAACTTTAAAACAGATGAATAAAAAGATAAGCCTGTTAGCTTATTCTTTTAAGATTTCTGTTTAAAAAAAAACACGACATGGCAGTGAACTAAAAATGAGACAATATTTCCATTGATAGAAGCTTGTAAAGAGTAGCCACTGTGCACAGCAAGATCAAGACAAAATGAAGTATTATTAGATATAATAGTCTAGTGCACTTTAATCAAATTTGTTATACTGGGTACTGCTGAACATGGTGAAATCCCACTAAAAAAACACAAGTCAAAACCTAGTTGCTCTACTGTATTTAAAAGGGTGAGCATTTCTTTGAAGGAGAAAATACAGTAATTTAATGGGCCTGTTGATGTCAGACACACATTATCAGATGCAAGCAATTGCTGCATGACAATGGTTAGAGACCTGTTTGCTGGAGATGTGAGCTGGCCAGGCCTGCACGGTAATCCAGGTACTGAAATTACCTGATATCAAAAAATCGTCATCTGTCAAATGAGGGGTTTCTACACTCAACCTTAGAACTGTACCATCACCATTTCCTATATAAATGGTTGCTGTTATAGCAAAAAATACACATCTGGAGTTATTGTAGCCTTAGCGTTCTGCAGATAAGTACACCATTATGTTTCTCTGGGAAGATTAGGCCTAAAATGCTGTATTTTAGGCTGAAGTATTTAGGATTTTACTCCCCAACAGTATCAAAGCTTTTTAAAAAGAAGATTCTGGGAAGCTTTGGGAGTTTACATTCTTCCCACATCGCTATACCCAATTTTCAAAACAAGATCTTACGGTTTTCTAAAAGTGCTGTTACCTAGAAGACACATTAGGTAATTTAAGGAGCCCTGTTTCCTGGCACAGAAAGAAAAGGTACACTGGTGCCTTTTCTGCATGTTTACTCTTTACATTTCTCCTTGCTCTGTCCACAGATATTTCCCCTGTCCCTCCAAAAGATGTGCTGAGAGGTTTATCTCTTGCTTTTTATGAGAAGTTGTAAATACACTACCGCTCTCACATTCTGACTCGACTTAGAAAGTGATTTGTTATTGTTGTTGTTGTTTTTGGGGTTTTTTTTATTGTTGTTATTGTTGCTTTCAGGCAAACTAAACTCAAGGTCGTCTTTTAGCCGGGGAGACTCAAATCTGAATACAGAACTGTTCCGGCCGCGCTCCAGCAGGCTCCTTAAAACAGGCAGGTCCCTGTGCCAAAACAAAGCACGGCTCGGCGCCTTGGGTTACAAAAAGGAGGGACTGAGCAAACCTGACTGATTTAAACCCAGCTATTTTGACTCTCCAGATAAACCTGCTGGCAACTCCCGTGTCAAGAAGAGGTGGGACGTTTTGCCCATTATTTTACCCATTGGCCAGCAAGCACGACATCAGGGAAAGATTTCTACATGTATGTATATATACACACATATATATATACACACCCCAATACAGGGAGAAACGTGTCACTTTTTTCCCACCCCACAACGTGTCGAACGGACAGAAACGTGTTTATCGTTGTTTTCCGTTCGCTCTGCCAAGCCGAGAACGGCAGCGCCGGGCAGGCAATGGGCGCTCGGCACTGCCCGATCGTTCATCCCGCCGGGCGAGCCGCGCAAATTCGAGAGCAGCGCCCGCGGTGTGACACGGCACAGACCCGGCTGGGACACCGCCGGGGCTGAGGCTGCCGGGGGTCCCGGGCCCGCTGCGGCGGGACGGGACACGGGACAGCGGGCACGGGACAGCGGGACACCCCCGGGGACAGCGGGACGGGACGGGACACCCCCTCCGCAGCCGCGCGCCCGGCACGCCGCCCTCACCCGCGATCCTCAGGCAGATCTCCGGCCCGCCGGGAGCAGCTGCCGCCGCTGCCCTCAGCCGCCGCCGCCGCGGCGCGCGCCCCGGGTCCTCTTGAGCGCGGGCGGCGCCGGGGCTGCGCGGCGCCGCGCTCGGCCAGCTCTTCCGCTTTCATGGCGGCGGCGGCCGCGCCGCGCCCGGGGCCTCATGCCGCGGGGAGCGAGGCAGCGCAGGGACCCGAGCGGCTGACGCGGCCGCGGGCACCGCCCGCTCCCGCCCGGCTCGGCCCGCCCGGCCCGCTCCGGGCCCGCCCGGCTCGGCTCGGCCCGCCCGCCTCAGCCCGCCGGCCGCCCCCCGTTGTGTCCGCGCGGCGCTGGCGGCGGGGCCGCGGTAACAGGTGGGCCGGGGGGCCCGGGCCGACCCCCGAGCGCCGCCTCGGCCCTCCGGGCGCTGCCGTGCGGGTCACGGCGGGACCGGCACCGCGGGGACCCCCCTGCGCTGCGGGTCCGCTCCCGCCGGTGCGGCCATAGCGCGGCCCGCTGCCCGTCCCGGGGCTTCGCAGCCTTCCAGGTGCCCCGAGCACCGAAAGAGTCCCCAAGGACATGATGCTGTAAAGCCAGTCCGGGACATGCAGCCTTCTGGGCTGAAGTGGAAGGTTAAAATAGCTGGGTTTAAATCTGCTTCTTAAGACACAGCGATACTTGAAAACACACAGTTATTTGAAATAGGTGTTGCAATAGATCAAGCTAGTAGTTAAAAGAACTTCTGAAAACTGCTCCCTTCCCTCCTCCCTCTAATTGGCCTTGGTGGAAGAAAGCCCTTGCTGAAGTGTTCTGCTGAGTGTGTGATCAGTGTTTATCACCTATTGGCTTCCACCTTCCAGTGCCTTACGTTTCTTAAAATATTCTTGCTAAACACCAGAGACCTAAAATTCTACTGACACTTCGAAAACCAATTCATGTCACCATCATTGTTCCAATTCATTATGCACATGGGAGTCATTGTCTTGCAGTGAACTTAGTGAAGCTGTGGCCAGACATGCAAAATGCAGGGGCTATATATATCATGATTGTTTTCTATCGAATCCTCCTCTCTGTCTTCTTGCCTCTTCTCATTTGTCTGCACTTTGTGAGTCTTTCTGAAGAAGTGATTTTGCTGGGATAATACAGAGGCTGTGATGTGGTTCCTGTCACAGTTGAAATGGTGAGGGTGGATGACTTCAACTTACAGAGCTGTCAAACTACAACTTCGTTCCATGCCCTTTTAATAGTTCACCGTTCCTTTAGCTATAGCTAGTATTGTTAAATGTATTTATTAGCAGCAATAGAACTATCACCATCATATGTTAATTTTACTAAAAACAAGCAGGAAAACAGCTAGCCAAAAACTTCCTTTAAAATCAAAACCACCCAAGAGAGTGAAATGATTGCAAAACCAAAGTGGAACTAGAGTCAGTGTCCCTGGCTGTGATTATCAAGTGAATGAAGCAGAGTGGAAGCACTACAAAGAAACTGAGTATTCATCTATCCTTCTCTTCAGAAACACATTGTATCAAAATGTGGATGTAATTAATAACTTGCTAAGGTATAGTACCTTTAATAGAATTACATTGCTCAGTATGTTTCTTAAGCAAGCTTTTTCTTATTCAAGGAACTCTGCATTTAATTTCACGTGCTTTCTTTCCAGAGCCTGCTCTGGGCCTGCCGGTGACCTTAATGGATCTAGGAACAAACCTCTTCACAAAATGCCATTTTAAAATTGCATTAAAGCTTAAAAGGGGAGAGAATTTTCAGTTAAGTTTATATAGCAGCATTTTACAGAAGGCCAAAGATCAGAAACTGCAGAGGAGGATATGCTCCTCCATAAATCTTGGATGGTTTTTTGTCTTCAAATTGCTAAAAAGAAGTGGCTGGTGGATGAAAGAGGGCACATCTACTTTAATGAAAGCAATAGACTTTGAACATAAACATTTCTAGAAAAATGGATAATATGAAATCTGACAGAACTGCAACCCAAACTGCTGTTGTCCTTAGTTCAGTTGTCTAAGACACAAATAAATAAGGAGAATTTATTCCGAGACCTCTCGCTCTGAGAGAAAGTACATACATCCAGAGAAAGAACATTCTGCTGTAAATCTGCCTAGGAAAACACGTAGTTGACTCCAAAACCTGATCAGATGTATGTTTAAGACACACTTCTTCCTGGTCTTACAGACCTACATTTTTGTATGACACAAAGAATTGCAGACAATGGATGATGTATTTAAAATATTTATTTAAAATTATGAAATGTATTTCATAATGTCTGCCAGTGTCAGATGCAAAAGTAGGTATAAGCTTAAGTCCCAGTGTTCAACACTGTGACTTTTCAGGGTATATTTTAATGCAAGATTGTCATACAGTGCTTGAAGCTTTAAAACAGTGCTGAGAAGTATTGGATTGAAAGACAGTGTTGATCTGCTGAAGGCATGTTCTTCCTGACCAAAATCAGATTTTTGAGTTTACCGCATCTGGAACAATGATTTTTAAAATACATTAGCAAGATCGTTTCATGAGACAATAATAATCTCCAGGATTTTTTGCAATCAGCCTCAGTTGTGTTTTAGTTTTTATTATCTTGTACTCAATGGGAATAGCACTTTTGTGTCTGTCTTCAGTGCCAGGTAGTTTATTCTGTGCTCTGATTTTCTAGATAAGGTTTCAGATGTCCTACAAAGACACAACATTACCAATGCTTGTTGGAATTCACTGGAGAATTGTTCCTGTAGAGCATAAGTTTAAAAAAAAGTATATATTATGTCAGTGTCATATGTCAATGATCTGGGGTTTGTTTGAGAAATTCACTGTTTTAACTCCTGCCAGCTGCAAAATTGTATTAATGGGAACGTGATCCAGCCTGTTTTTATCGAGGTGCAAAAAATGAACTTCATTGCCTGGAAAGGAATGAGAATAACATGTAAATTACTAAATAAAATATTTATTTATTCAAATATGTAAGCAAATCAAAGCAGCATTCTGACTTCCTACTAGTTCTTGTACAAATGTGTACTAGATCTGTAGATTGCACAATATACTGTATTTTAAACAATGACAACTTTTTTTTAAATTATGTTAAAGAAGCAAGGAACATTGAGGCACCTAACTAGTTTAAATCTGCTGTAGCATGATGTTTCCTAATCACAGAATCATAGAATCATAGAATCATAGAATCATAGAATCAGAGAATCAGAGAATCAGAGAATCATAGAATCAGCTGGGTTGGAAGGGACCTCTGAGATCATCAAGTCCAACCCTTGATCCAACTCCACCGTGGTTCCCAGCCCATGGCACTGATGCCACATCCAGTCTCATCTTAAACACCTCCAGGGATGGAGAATCCACCCCTTCCCTGGGCAGCCCATTCCAATGGCTGAGCACCCTCTCTGGAAAGGAATTATTCCCAATGTGATGACTGTCATGTTGCAGCTCCCCTTCATGCACTACTCCTCTACTAAACAACATCAGATGCCTCGAATAAAACGTGAAAACAGACTGTAGGTAAATGCCATGATGTCAAAAAACCCCTCCAAATTTCGAGGCAGTTGTTCCATCAGCACTCCAATCAATTTTTGCAGGACTGTAATGAGCTTTGTGCCACCTCTGTGGGAGCTGGGACTAGGCAATAACACTTTGCAGATTCCTTCATGCCACAAAAATCACACAGTTGCACACAAGGCTGTCTCCTCTGAATCCACAGGGACAGCAGGTGAGCTGGCAGCAGACAGCTGAAGGAGAGAGCTGCAACTCTGACACAAAACACAGCAGCTCACCTGGGCCTATGATCAAAGCTCCTCCCTGCTGAGCAGGGTCTCCTTGGAAATCAAAAGCCGGGCCAGTCATTGCTCTCCATATACTCCTGATGCTTCCCAGAAGTGTGTTTGATTTCACATGAGGGCTCCGCACTAAACAAAACCACCAAATATTGTTATCTATAAACACAAAAGTATGTAAGGAACAAGAGCACTGAACAGCTGCTATGAATAGTTTAGAGATTCCTGATTTTCACAAGAGACAATCTAGTGGGCAACTCACTTTCTATTTACATTGCAATCATACTATTTTATCAGAACATTCATGTTTTGTTTGTGTAAGTCCAAATAAGGTGAAAAAATTATTCTTACCTGATATGTTATTACCTTCACCTCTTTTCATGCCAAGCGTTTTATAAATTTCCCTTTGTGGATCTACATACATTTCATGTGTATACCCAGTTAAACTGCAAAAGGGCTGCAAAATATATGCATACACACACACACACATGCACACACACACACACAAACACACACAAAAAATATTTTTAAGGTTAAGGCAGTAACTGGTTAGGGTCTGCTGACAACAGAAAAAGTACTGATACCCTGCCAACTCCACCCTCCCCCCTCTTGTTTGGAAGTTGTGTATTTGTCATGTTAAATTAAAGGCCAAAATTTTTCAGCCTTTATTAAAACAGTTTTTATTTAAAAAAAAACAAGAAAAGATGAAATCTTTTCAAGAAAATCAAGAAAAGATGTTTCTTAGAAAGAAAAAGATGAAATCAAGAAAAGATGTTTCTTAGAAAGAAAAAGATGAAATCAAGAAAAGATGTTTCTTAGAAAGAAAAAGATGTTTCTTAAAAACCTGGTGGTTTTTAAATTAAAAGTTTTAGTTATTTGCTTTACTCATGTAAATTAGAATTGCCTCATGAATACCATCCTTTTTTTCTGTAGTTGCAAAAGACCATCTTTTCACTCAGAGCAAATCCCTCAATACAGACCATTAAGACACAAGAGAGGATACCTTCAATGACTATTTTATTTACCTTGATGTGGTGATAAGATGACTGCCCAATAACTATAAGCCTCACATTTGCTTCCTAGAACAGAACAAGGGTATTGAAGTTGTAAAGAGGAACTCAAGTGTTTCTGCACGACTTCGAAGCATTAGCAGAATCTGGCGTCCTGAGTTAATAATCACAGTGCACTGAGTTAAAATTATTGGAAATTAAAATCACTTACGTGTTTGGAGACTTCACCCTGGCTATCACCCACAGTCAGAAGCAACATTAATTTATTAAGTAATAAATTATTTTTAAAGAGAACCTGTAAATTATAGATGTGTAAACTTTGAGTTTCCTGTAGCATTGGTAGCATTGTCTTTCTGATTGATTGCAGTTGATTGCAACATGCTATAATTTTGGAAATTCAGAATTTCCACGCAGTTGCACCTACTTCTAAAGAAGCAGCACAGAAGTATTGGTGCCCAAATATCTGTGATTTACATATAGAGATACACATTAATACATATAACTTGCATTCACACATACTGCTGTCTCTTGCAGGTGCAACATTAGGCCTGAGCCTAAAATAAGGCCAAAACTTGAGTTCATTTAGATGCCAGTAAAAACAGTTAATAAAATATAAGGTAGTTTCATTAGTGTGTAATACTTGCCTTTCCCATATAGAATCATTTTGGTTATTATGAAAAGAAGCCCTCCTAAAAACAAAACACTCACACTAAGAAAAGCATGGACAGATTTTGATTCTCTATCTACATTTATTTGAGGAGTCAAATTAAGAAAATGTCACTTCGAGTAACACTGGTCGAACAGTTCAGAAATATCTGTCCTGAGAAGAGAAGCTGCCAAAGACATTTCCCCTTTTTATCCTCAAGTTCCTAGTCCATCTCAGATGGATTTAGATGAACTTGCTGTCAGCAATTACCTGAGTCTCTGTCACTGACTGTGCTGCTGTTGGGAGTAAAATATGACAGAATTTCAATCATCAGTCTGGAAGAGACAGATTGACCTTCCACATTTAGCAGGAGATCATTGTCTTCTCCGGTGTCTCCCACTACCCAGCAAATACCTGTCCACAGCAACCCCTGCCCACTCCTCCTTTCTGTCATTGTGTCATTCCTGTTTGTGCAGCTGCCCAGAGAACAGGTCACACCACTGATGCAGCTTACAAATAACCATAGGGAAAGATACTGGTTTTAATCCAGATCAATTTTCTGATCTTGTTCCACGCACAACCATCAGTCAGCCCCGCTGGCATAATGGAAAGGGCAGTAGTTAGTAGTCAGGAGAAGACAGCTGTCCAGGGCACTACTAATACCAGAAGGAATGCCTGTCAAATGTTGTCTAGCTGTTCTAACACAGCAGTAAAAAGAGCACCAAGCTAATAGGGCAGGGAGAAATAATGCTGCTGCAACAGAGCATGTAGTGCCATAAATCCTTTCCTGTGTCTCCTAGGCAGATTCATTATTGCTGTTGTAGCAAACAGTGAAAGTGCTTCTTCTGACCCACTTTTTTATTCCTGGAAGCCTCATGCAAGCCTGTAGCTGGACATAACAAATCAGCTTGGTTGCAGCAACCCCACGTACATATTAAGGGTAGAATACTTACTTGTAAAAATGCCTTGGGAACTTTTGCCAGATCTTCTACATATTCCTTACAGGTGTAACACAAAAAATTCTGCAACACAGCCAATTGGATGTATCAGAAACAGATGTAATTGCATAGCAACGAAGCAGCAGATTACTGATTTGGGGCACACGACACTTTGGAGGTGAACAGGAACCAGGAATGAGAAAGATTCCAGTTCTTTGAAGTCACCACATTTGGATTAGGATACTGGTTTAATCCAAGCACGAACAAGGACGCTGGGCCCGCGGCCTTGCTAATATTTTTATCTCTAGATATCGCAGCAATGCGATAGCTGGCTCAACAGCTGGGAAATCAGGGGAACGCGATACTTGTTTCCTTAAAAGAGCGGCTGAAGAAGTGTTTCCTTTCTGGTAAACAGTGTTATCACTTTACCACCAAGGCGCGGATGGACCGCGGGAGCAGCGCTGACCCGCTCGGTGCGTTCCCCCCGCTCCCCTCCAGCCCTCCCCTCCAGCCCGGCCCCCGCTCACCCGCACGAACACC